AATATTTTCTCCTTATCCATAATTTTTGTCAATTTGATGACTACATGCCTTGATGTGTTCCTCTTTGGGTTAATCCTGTGTGGTACCCTCTGTGCTTCCTGGACTTGGGTGACTGTTTCCTTTCCCAAGTTGGAGAAGTTTTTGGTTATTATGTTGTTTTAATTTTATATGTGACGTGAAAAATCAGTTTCTTACTTAAGTTTGCTTGTATGTATAAATGGGAAAAATGAACTTATTCCATGAGATACTGAGAATAGCTTCCTTTGATTCCTAAAATTTGGAAGAGCCTTCTATCTCACATGACTTTAATACATACTTTGAAATTCACCAAAAATCAAATTCTGAAAATCAAAGTTGAATTTAATTTTAAAACAGAGCACTTTGTTAGGGAGTAAGAGGGGGAAGGATATCTTAAAAACAAATCTAAAAAGGGAATCATGTGGTATATTGATATTTAGAGGTGAGAATTAGGTATTTCACAGCTCAGTGTTCAGGATAAGCCACATTGCTGCGTTTTCCTCAATTGTTAGTGGCTCATCGTTGCTCTTGGAGGGCTCAGGAGGTTTAAGAGTGGCCTTAAAGAATAAGACAAGCAAGCAAAAAAATATCTGTAGGTTATCAGATGATACCTGACATTTTGATTAGACTCAGGCAGGTGACAATTCCAAACAAACTCAGATCTGTAGTACCTGTAATTAGCATGTGTATGACGTTTTCCCTTTGCTAGGGCCACACCTTCTGTAGTGTTTCAGGTGGGAGATTATTACTGTTTTATAATCCAGGGCTGTGTGGACCCACTCAACCCAAGTGCTGACAGTTAAAATTTTATTCTTCTCATACCATTCATACTGGATAAATTGAATGGGATAAATTCAATAAAAACTGAAAAATTTTAGAACTTTCTTATGGAAAGACTTCTTTATAGACCTAGCCCTGTCCCCCACCACTGAAAATTCATGATTCTCTTTAATCTAAAGTAAATGATGTGTAAAGAAAAATATTTTCTGTTTCTTGGAAAACATCTGTTGAATTTTTTTGTGACTTTAACTCTGTGAATAAAGTTCCCTGCTGACACCTCTCCCCATTTCTCATAGCTTCTCTCCCTTGTGTTGAAGGAGAACTTGGATTTGCAACCTCCTTCCCTTGTTTATTCATTGAATCATCAGCCGTGAAGCCCCTGCTGTATTCCCGGCCCCGTCAACGACTGTCCCCTGCTCTTCACTTGTCAAGATGATTTTCACTTCATCCCAAGTCTAGCCCTGAGCGTTTCCTCATAGAAATTAAAGATTAAATATTTGTTTAGTCTTGGCCAGGCACTGTTCCTTCACATCATTTATTCCTCATAATACCTGATGAAGATGGCATTGTGTATTCCATCTGGTTAAATGGCCGTCTTGCATTCTTGTTAACTGAAATTACTGCAGTGACATTGAAATAGTTTTTTTCCAGAGGGGAAGAAAGAGGATTTCTTTTCAGCTGTGGATCCTGTATTGTGTTTACAATGTTCCTGTGAACTAGGAGCCCCTGCGATCCCCTCCAGGTCAGCTCTGGCTGGTGGGATGCTGAGCTCCAAGGCAGTGGGGAAGCAGCCATAGTGGCCGACCTGTGGAGGGCTGACAATGCCCTGGTATCTGCTCCCAGCCCGGCAGGGGGCTGGGGGCTGGCTCTTCAGTCTGCTGGTGTGTTTCTAGGGGTTTTTTGGCTCATCTGGGGAGTTGCTGCCCCGTGATTCTGATTGCTCACACCCCTGGTCTGCCGGGTGCTTAGAGGATGACTGAGTGGTCCTGCCCTGTGACTGTCCCTTGGCACCAGGATCGCACTGCCCTGAGAACCACCGATATCCCGTGTGTTCACCATCTCCCTGCCCCACCCTGGGATGCCCTCTGCCTTTGGCCTTGAGGATGTGCATGGACACAGTTTACTTAGTTAGGTGTTTTCTCTCACAGTCAATATCTCCATATTTCCTGGTGCTGAAAGTCCTGAAAAGACCGTAACAACAGAGGATTTCTGCATGTGCCCTGGTTTGGGGCCAACTTCATCAGGAATCTCGAAGCAAAGGGGTTGTTTGGTGGCCTGACAAGGCTTTTCGGCATTGTCGTCTACTTTGAATTTTAATGACCACCTATCAGGATAGATTTAGGAATGTCTGTCTGACCTTCTTAAGGATCTGGGAGTGGATTTTCTTACATCGTCTTTCATTTAGAAATCTTTTTTAGCTGACTCTCAGATATGAAATGCAGGTGATATGATGAAATATAGATGAGAATTCTAGAGAAATGACATCAGCACCACAGACTACGTCTCTTTTTGTAAAACTCAGGTGCTACAGCTCAGAGGTAGCACAGTGCTCATTTTAAAGAAGGAGATTTCCATTTTTTTAGCCCCAGTTTCTCCATCAAATAGCTCTTCAAGATAAGTTTTCTCTTTATCCCAAATCCAAGCCTGAGCATTTTGTCATGAAAAACAGGGACCCCTTCCCAAGAACTAGAGAACCGATGCTTTATGACAGGCAAAATGTTTGTTCAAAAAAAAATATGTAAGTGATTCAGGATGATTCTCAATTTAATCTAGGAGACACAAGTGGGAATAGCCAAGAAAATATTGAAAAGGAAGACTTCAGAGAGCAGATATATATCAGTTATAAAAAGATACTGAAACACTACAAGTTTAAGAAAACCTTTAGTACTGACTCAGAAATAGACTGAAATATGTATTAGAATTTGGCATATGATAAAGGTAGCATTCGAAGCAGTGAGGAAAGGGTATATTATTAAGCAAATGGTATAGAAGTAAATAAACTTCTATACTGTGCACCCACAAATTACATCCTGGAGACAGTGCTTACAGCATATAAGACAGATTCTTGACTAGGTGTGATAAGTCCTTACAGATTGTTGGGAAAAATTTGAACACATGGTAGGAAATCGGACAGCAGACATAATGAGCTGTTCACGAAAGAAGTAACATATATGACTGATGCATTTACTCAGGATCATCAGTCATCAAGAAACTAAAACTGAAAACAGTTACACAGGGCTGTCTTCCCACCTGTCAGGTGGGCGGCGCTGCTGTCGGGCTGCAGACAGAGGCCATGGGCGCTCTGGGAAGGGCACCGCCTGCCCCAGGGGATGTAGGGGTGGGATGCCATTCAGAAGAGTCATCAGCCCAACCACAGCCTAGGTAGCAGGATGCCACTGGGCAGATACACAAGTGGTAACATTTTAAAGCAACCCAAGTCCAACAATAATAGGCAATCCATTGAGTAAACTATGTTCCACACACACACACTCACAGGGAACACACACCTGTTAAAAGTGGGAGTGGTAGAGTACATTTCTCCACATAGATGCTCCAGGGTAAATGAGCCAATAAACCAGGTCAGAATACTACGTACAAGGTGATCGCACGTTTGCCCCCCGCCCCGACACACACACTAGTCTGGAAGAGAGTCACCAAGTTTCAACTGACCCTCTCTGGATGGTAGAATTATGGGTTTTTTTAAAGTATTACTTTCGCTTTATACTTTAATAATACTTTAAAAGTATTATTTTTCACACTCTCATCTGATTTTTCTACAAAAGTGTATGTTTATGTCATTCTTTAAATATCCTTTAAGGAATAGGAATTTGAATTACCCAATTTAAGAAAATAGCTTTACCAGCCAATTAATAGCATTTGTTTATTCTTCTTTGCTGGTCATATCCGCGGTCATTCAGAACCACTTATTTTTATTTTGTGTGCTACTTCACCTCTTCTGTGTGTTTTCCCAGCAGTGGGGTGGTTTTGTCTTCATTTTACTTAAGCTGCATGTGATGTCATTAACACAGATTTTCTTCCTGATGCAGCTTCTTCCCTGCCCGCCCCTCCCCTTCCCCCCATGTGTTCTGCCCTCTCATTCACTGCGCAGAATGAGTCATCCTTCGGGCAGGAGCCCCAGTGCTTTTCAGCACAAAGACCTTTGAGAAGCCGCTGTAGGAAGTCAAGTGTCTCTGGGGCCCAGAGTTGGGGGGCGGGTGGAGAGTGGTGGAGGGGGGAGTGACTGGGTACTGTTGTCATGGGAAACATGGCCGTGACCACCATGAATTCACCAACTCTTCTGACACCCAAAACCTGGAATCAGCAACTGGTTTTATATTCCCATCTTCTGAGACTATATTTTCAGAACCTAGTTGATATTTATGTTTCCTACAAATGAAATTTTTTAATATTTCCATTTCCTACTTAGTAAAATCGAGGTGTTGACAGCTCCCTATCAGGGCTGTGGCATCTGTGCCATCGCCTAGCCTGGGGCCATGCCCCCTGGACTGGAGCCTGCCTTCACTGCCCCCCACCCCCACCCCAGGCTGTCAGTGGTAAGCTAGATCTCCTCCGAAGACCATTGAGGATTTTCTCTTGTTTTACAAAATGTTTTCTTCTCACTTGATTTGATAATAATTTTCCCCAGAAACTTAGCATGTTAAGGTGCAGATTCCAAATCTAGACCAACAACCCCCACCCCAATCTGGTTTTTAAAAGAATCGGAGCAGGACCGTACATTGCTGGTCACTCCACCAAATGACAGCTTCCTGTACGGAGCAGTGATTGAGATACAGACTAAAAAAGTACACTTGGCCTCTTTTAGATGTATCGTACCAAGAGGATTAATATTACTTTGTTGCATGAGGACCAACTACATAATTTGTGGGGCCTAGTGCAAAACTGGCAACATGGCCCCCTTGTTTAAAAATTATTAAGGATTTCAAGATTAAGGTGAGCGTGCATGAGCTCATTTCACCTCCAGGCCCTGAGTGACTTTCGGGGTAGCCAGTTAGAAGGTTGTGTTACCGACTTCTGGGCAGCTCCTCCAGCCCCTGCTCTCCTGCACTGTCTCTGGCAGGCCATCGCAGAGGGCTGGGGAGACCGCGTTCTATGCCTGAGGCCTGGGCCCTTCTGGGTGGGGATGCTGCCCCTGGCCTCCCCACGTTCCTAACACCTGCTGTTCCTCTTCCTTGCATGTACAGAAATTCATTGAGTTTGAAGATGCTTTGGAACAAGAGAAGAAAGAGCTCCAAATCCAGGTGGAACACTATGAGTTTCAGACTCGCCAGCTGGAACTGAAGGCCAAAAACTATTCAGATCAGAGTAAGTTGCTGGCCTATGAAAGGACACCGTGTTTGAATGTGTTAGTTATCCTCAGACTCTCCCCGGCCGGCCAGGAGGGGTGCCCAGAGCCTTTGATAAAAAGAGAGCGAGAAAAACCCAAGGACAGCCTGGTTTTCTTTTCAGTGCGATTCTGTCAATTACTTGTTTTATCTCTTTACACTGCTCTGTATTTCTGTCAGTGGCCTCGACTCGTTTAGGGAAATAAAACAAAATAAATAAATAAGGTCCCTTTGATAATGACATAGCACTTTTGCTTAATGCTGCAGTCTGACCCCAAATTCACAAATCTGTGATCTTGTTATGGTCCTTCAGGACAGAGCTCCTGGCTGCTGTCTGGGGGTTCCCGAGTGTGAGATGTTGCTCTTTCATGACCTGAAAGTTGGGCCTGACAACGGGGCCCCTGTAGTGACAGTTCCGAGGAGGGGCTCACGGCTGACCAGGGTGCCTGTGGGAATGCCCCGTCCCTCTCAAGGAGAGTGAGGGCAGGGTTTTTTTGTTTAATTATTATTTTTATCGTAACGATTATTTTAGCTTTCAGAAGCCTTTGTTTAAACTATACTGTCAAAGTTAAAACAACCTGTGTAATTACAGTTTTCTGAAATTAGAGGTTTTGATGGTTGAGATCTAGTTGCTGCTTTACCTCATTCCCTTGGATAACAGGGGCCTTCATCCCTCTGAAAAGTCAAGCTCCAGTCAAGAAAAAAACATGGTTTGATGGTTGGGTCCATCCCTATCCCGCAAACCAAGACCTGAAGACCATTTGGCTAAAGCTGGTACCTCACAGGTGTGTAGGTGAGCAGGTGGCCAGTGTGTACACACACACACACACACATACACACACACACACATCTCTGCAAAGTAGAGGCAAAGCAAAAGGCCCATTATAGATATGCACAGATCAGTGCTTTCTATAACTGCACAGAGTCCTTCATATTCCTTTTGCTTAGAATACTTTTCACATGTGAAACCTTCTTGTCTTTTCTTAGAAGGAAAACACAAACTCCAAATTACAGGCTGAAGTTTATCACTTGGTCAGCACCAGGGGCAAGGGCCACGGAGAGGGAAGAGCAAGGACGTCACACATCCTTTCCCCTACACTGTGCAGAGTTCAGCAGAGTTGAGGTTGGAACAAAGAGCCACAGACGTAAGGTGTCTGAGGCCCGGGGTGCGCATGCGCTGTTGGCTGCAGTCACCCCGAGACACTCAGGTGCTTCCTTGTGTTTCTTAGGAAGAGCCTATGCAGGGACCATTCTGGGTGTCATGGGGGTGACACAGTCACCAGCCCAGAGGTGGCACGATCATGATTTGGTCTTTCCAGCCCTTGGCATGTGTAAGGGACACCTGTGTGTTCCATCCTGGGTTTCAGATATTCTTTTCTCTTTACATGTCTTAGAGGCTACTTACTGATGAATTCTGCCTCTTTCCATAAGCCACCAGCCCACTTCTTGTCTACACTTGACACAACTTGACACATCCAGTGAGTTGTGCCTGCGCCTCAGAAGCCACAGCCGACTTAAGCACAGATAGTAATGCTTGTGTGTTTCACCCACCATTCCTCTTTGTAGCAGGATTGAACACCCTCAAGTAGCAGCCCACACACAGTAAACCCCCAGACCCAGACCAGTCAGAACCTACCTGCCAGCGTCCCCTGGGCATGCTCTCCCGATGAAGCCATCTCCAAGTTTGGAGCGCTGCTGGCAGCCCATGCCAGATGACAGTTTGTCCGGGAACCCTCTGCCCCCCGGCAGCCCAGCCCAGAGACACGCGGAGCCAGGGAGAGGAGGGCTGTGCAGTTGACTATAAGCGGTTGTGTTTTCTAGTTTCCCGGCTGGAGGAGCGGGAGTCAGAGATGAAGAAGGAGTACAACGCCCTGCACCAGCGGCACACCGAGGTGGGTGTCTGCGCAGAGCCAAGCCCCACTCGCCTGGTTGGCTGCAAACCGTGGCTGCTTTTCTGTTTTCTGATATTCCCCTGCCGAAGCTGCAAACTCTTACCCTTGGGACCCAATGATTGCCTTCCCTAGCTTTTGCCTTCATTTCTGTCGGAGCCCAGCGAGGGGGAGGGGGAAGACAGTGCAGGTTCAAGGGCAGGGAGGGGCTGGTAGGCAGGAAGCACTCACAGGGGGGTTTCTTCTTCACAGATGATCCAGACCTACGTGGAGCATATCGAGAGATCCAAGATGCAGCAGGTTGGGGGAAACAGCCAAACCGAGGGCAGCCTGCCAGGGCGGAGGTAGGGCGGGAAGCTGACTACAGAGCCAGGGACCCCTATCCCACGGGTGCTCTGAGAGCTGCATTCTCCCCCAACTCAAAAGGAGGGGTGTCTGGTCGGAGCATGTGGCTTGAGCAGGGGTATGTGCTGAGGAAGGCACTGGAGTGGGCTTGGAAGGGCTGAGGTAGACCTTCTGTGGGCCTGCGCGAGGGCCCTCCTGAGACTTGCAGAGTCTGTGTTTGTGCATTCACCTGCTCACTAAAATTTATTTGTAGCCTCAAAATCACCACTCGAGACATTCTTGCAGATGTGCACAGGGCAGTGAAAATTTCAAGTCACCCAGCACACAGGGTGCCAGTTGAGGTCACACCCAGTGTCACTCCGCCCACTCATCCCTGCCTCCTGCAGAGACCCTGGGTGGGGCGTGGAAAGAAGCAGGAGGGCAGTGCAGTGTCCTGCAAGACTCTGGGATTCGGGGGCCACTTAGTGGGACCTGAAGCCCAGCTCTGGCCCCTGTCCTCTAAGACATGTTCAAGCCACCAAATACTTGTGCACCTCGTTTTCTCTTTTATAAGATAAAGCAAATAGAATCTATCAGGGTGAGTTAGGAATTAAAATTCTGATCACTATGAGATGTATACCTACCTATGTACTTATTTCTTCTATGAGGAAAGTCAGTGTTTGCAGTGACTTAATGGTGTATAATCACCTTGAATCATGAGAACCAACTGCACCTGTGGGGAGGCCTTGGTGACCAGCAGGCGGAGCCGCATTCCCAGTGTGGGACAGGTGGCGTGGGCAGGTTCAGCGGCCCTTGCTTATCTGAGCTCAGGAGCCCAGTGCTGGTTTGATCCGGGGAGCAGAGGCCCAGTTCCTCCTTTATCTTCAGTGCCCTTCAGGCAGGATGAGACCGCACCTTTGTCCCCAAGACAGCAGACTGTCCAAGATCTTCTCTGGGGTGTGGCCAGCTGGAGGGAGCTGGCCCTTGGGAGGCCAGGCGGGTTGGTGCCAATTTCTACATCTCCATTAGGCTGGAGAAGGGACTGGAGGCTGGAACCCCATGCCCCACAGGGCGAGCTCACTATTAGTTCATTTCCAGCTGTGGCCCCTTGTTCCTGCAGCGAAACACCTGGAACCCCTGGTCAGTCACATAAAGGCTTTGTTTTCTCTGTACCTGCCTCCTTGGTGGGTTGTGTCTACAAAGGTCAGCGTCAGCTACTCTCTGGGTCATGCTGGGCAAAGCTGCCAAGTCTTCTGACTTGAAAACAGAACGTGTAGTGTGTAAGCGGAGGCCTGGTAGCACCTCGGAATGGTGGTCATCCAGGTTTTCAGACAGTCTCACCGCTTTTAGAGGGGAGTAGGGGCTACAACCGTTGTGGATGCTTGTGCCCTCAGAAATAGTACCTTGGGGGTCATTTGCTGCCCCCTCCAGCTCTGTGAGAGAATATGTATCAAGGAGTTTGTTAAACTACCAAACCCTTTGCAGGTATCATTTCTGGGTCAGGTACATCTAAAAGTGGGAAATACTGATCTCCAAGCTACCAGCTCCTGCACACACTATGAAATCCTCATGCCTGGCACTCAGAAGTTCCCAAGGGAATTTTGAAGTAACTGCACTGAATGCTAACCTGGAATCGGGGACTCTTTGTGTTGTTTTGGGGATCATTTGAACTGGGCAGTCTGAGCTGGGGCTGCAGAGGCTGGCGGTTTGGGCATCTCCGACAAGTACTGGGGGCCTGCCCGGTTCCAGAGAGCCATGGCATTCCAGAGCCTTCGGCTGTTTCCCTGCCAGTCCCCTTTCAAGGCTGGAGCACCTCAGAGGTCACACAGGAGAAAGCCCAGGGAGAGGGGCCCAGTTTTCCCAGAAGCCAGGGAGGTGACCTCTGGGCCCAGGACTTGGAGGCCAAGAGCATCTGGGGTCCTGAGTCACAGCAGTCAGCACCCAAGGGACTCAACAGAAATAGGCATCCTCGGAACCTCAGGACAATGTGGACTCGGCCAAAATCAGAAGTTGCCCAAGCTCCAAAGCTGGGCCTTGAGGGTACTGGCCATCACCACGGGTCGGACCTCTGATTCCTCCTCAATATAGAAGAGGTGGCGTGATTGAAGATGGGGTGTTGTTTTTGTGGACGACTCTGCGTACAGTGGAGACAGGACATGGCCTGGAAACCTGCTGTCAAGATGTGTCTTGTGGCTCCTGCAGCCCTGAGCAGAGCCTGGACCAGCCCAGCACCAGCCACAGTAGTGCTTCTCCCTGGCGCATGGTGGGAAGGCCTGGGAGAAGATAGCTTCCCCTCCCCGAGGAAGCCCCCAGACCGTGGCAGGTGCCGCCGTTCTCCTGGTCAGGACTCCCCTCCTGAAGGCTGTGTCTGAGCTCTCCTCTGTCCTCAGGGAACAGAGCAGGCTGGTTGTAAGAAGCCCCAAGAGCTGTTTCCTAAGGGACGATTCTGTGGGCCTCTTCTGCTGGGCCAGCAAGTCCAGGTCCTGCTGCCTGGCCACAGCCGTCAGTCCCCTCTGGACGGGATGCGCTTGGTGGTTGGTGCCCTAGGAATGGCTTTCTCCATACCAGCCAAGGCCCATGGGAGCCTTGTTAGTCAAACCTACTCACCGGTGTCCAGAAGAGACAGGGGCTCTGGTCCAGATTTCCGCCGTGCCTTGTCTCCCCATCATGTCTGGCCAGAGGGGCATCCCCGGGGCTGGGGTGTGTGTGGCTGGGTCCTCAGTGCTCTCTGCTAAGTCACCTTCCCGAGCCAGAGTCCCCACCCTGTAGGAGATGCCTGCCTGGGATGAGGGAGGAGCCGGAGGTATCTTCCTGTACCTGGTGGTCAAGGTATATTCCTGGGTGGAGATTGGGGTGAAGGTGGTGCTGGAGCAGCATGTGTTTGGGAAGCAAAGAGGCTGGGCTGCGTCTGGGCTGCCCCCATCGTCCTACCAGCTAACTGGTGGTGTTGAGCTTCATTACCAGCACACAGAATCGGTGGCGTCATGATTGCTGCCGTGGTGTAGGAAACCCTGGGCTCCTGCTGTCCCTGCAGCCGCTCCCCCGCAGCCTAGACACTTTGCTGCCACTGAGATGTTCTGAGGGCCCGCCGTGTGTGTCTGACTGCCCTGGGCCTGTTTCTGGGTGAACAGAGGTGTTCAGCAGCCTTAGGTCTCCGGCGTGCACACCAGTGGAGACAGAGAAAGCATAAGCCCTCCTCGCTGTGCTGGGCATTGGCCTCTGTAGGGCTGGGGGCATGGGGTTGGGGGATGGTCCCCTGTGGCCTGTGCTGCTGCAGCAGCCGGTTAAGGACAAGGCCCTGCCCTCCTGGTCTGCTCTCCTCTGGGGTACACCCCGTCCCGCCACAACTCTGGGTCCTCTGGAGACATAACATGTATGTCTGCCCAGCTCGAGTTCAGACTCCCCAACTCCACCAGTAGTGCCAGGTTGCCGCTGCTCACCGCTGAACCTAATCGGGCCGTTCTTCTTCCCTCCTGGCTTGGTTTCATGAATCTGTGTATCTTTAGAATAAAACCCGATGGTTAGCTTGCTTGGGCCCATGAACATGGCAGATGTGACCGTGTGCTCTGTGTGCTCTGTCACCACATGGGCATTGCCTACATGCACTGGTCTGTGCTGAGTGCGTGTTACCTGCTGTCTGAGTCAAGAGGGCCATGTGTCTGTGTGTCCTGTGTCTGTCCCATGTAGGCGTCTGCACGGTCCACACCTGTCCGTTTCTGTGGGGGGAGCGCAGGGTGGGGTGCCCGGCTGTCCTCCGCCGTCGTGCCTTTACTCTCTGGTGTGCACACATGCCACCCGAGCCCCCGCCCTTCGCTCTCTAATGTTGTCTTCTTGTCTTGCCCTCTGTGCTATCACCGCTGTGTGCTGGCCCTTGTCTGTCGTTGCCCTGCAGTCCTCGCCAGTCATGGAGGAAAAGGTAAAGACTGCAGCAGTCCCTGGGCCTCGGGTTGGGAGCACCAGGGCGGCTGGCGGTTCTCAATTACCAGTCCAGCGGCACGTTTCCTGCCGGGATGGTACAGGTCGTAGGCTCCTGACATGGCATTTATAAGGCCTGATGCTGAGGAGGCGGTGGGCCAGTCCCAGATCCCCAAGACAGCCCCAAAGCAGGCGGCAGTGCAGGCCCCGCTAGCAAACATACAGCCGTGTGCAGGTCGGACCACGTGTCCGCAGCCCCGGGCTGGGGAGGCGGTGGGTGGGGGTGGAGACCCAGCACCCTGGCGTCAGGCAGCTCGGTCACTCAGAGACTGGGCCCAGAGCCAGCAGTGAGACCCCTTCTGAGTGCAGCCTCTGAAGTGGGACAGCATTGGTGTCTCTAGAGGGAGCTGTGGTGTGGTAACAAGAGGGCACAGTGACTGAGCCTTGGCAGGGCCCTGAGCCAGCAGTCAGCCACGTGCAGCGAATGCTCCTGAGGCTCAGGGTGGAGGGCAGGGAGAAGATGGGACTCGATCCCCAGTGCAGGTTTCTGTTGGGGAGCGCGGTCTGGCTGTACGCGCACAGAGCTGTGGGAGTGGGCAGCGGATAAGCATCCCTTGCCCTCCGAGGCAGGCAGCCCCACACTCTGCCCCTGCCATCACCCTGTATTATTTGGTGACAGCCTGGGGCCGCGGGACCCTTTGTGTGCGTCTGATGCGAAGTCAGAGCTGGGCCCTGGGAGAGGGGTCCCCACACCAGCACTGGGAGCCAATGGAGTTAGAGGGTGGAGCTGGGAGCCCGAGGGAGCTGCCTTCCAGATGCCTGGGGGCCTCGGGAGCTGTCATCAGAGAGCAGCCTGGTGGGGACTGAGCCTCAGGCTGCTGGGGTCATGATGGTTCTGCAAACTCAGAGCTTTCCGACTTGACGCCTTAACTCTCAAGTGATGGTCTGAGACTTGTCCAAGAAAGTGCCCTCTGTTGCGGGTGATAAGAACTACACGAGGCAGTTGAGATCGTCTACAGGAAACTGCCTTCCCGAGTCACCGAGGCCACTCTGTCCAGGTCCCACAGGCTTCCTCTGGTTCTGTCCCTGCCTTGGAGGTCCCGACGGGTCCAGGGACCCTGCTCTTCAGTAGACAGTGTCTCCCTGAACAGAGGGGCCGGGGCAGGACTCTGCCCCCAGATTCCATCTTCTCCTCCTGCTTTACCCCAGCCCCGCCCTGGCAGCCCCAGAACTGTGAGGGGCTCCAGCCAGAAAGATGTCCTTCCCAGAGTCCTGCTCCATGATGCCGCCTACCCAGCTGTAGTAACTTGCATTCACAGTGGCTGCACCGCTCCCCTTCTCCATCACCTGCATCCTCTAAGCACCACTAGGAAGCCACCATCTTCTCTCCAGGACCACCCAGCCTCTGCATCTGGCTCCCCGCCACCCCTCCCACCTCAGTCTCTGAGGGTCAAGCTCTGAGCTTGAGAAGCTGTGATGCAAAGGATTCTGATTCTCAGCCTAAACAACTCTGAGCAGCGAGGACTCCACACAGCCCACGGGCCTGGGTCCTGAGCCCTCACCACTACTAATGGCCCGAGGAGCGTTTCCTGGGGACTGAGTCCACGGGAGGAGGCTCCAAGCTTCAGTCCAGGCTAGTGGATATTCCCAGTTTCCTAGCAGAGCTGGAAAATGATCCCTCTTCAGTGTCTCTGCTCCATGATGGGAGGAACCGCTTGGAGCAAGAGAAAAGCGCCAGCTGAAGGGGAGGGCTGCTCTTTACTCTGTACACAGGTCTCCTGAAAAAAGCACTGATATCCACATGGCGCGCAGGGCCACAAGGAACAAAGAACAGGGGCTGAAAGGCTTGATTTCCTTCTGCGTAGCTCCGGGAGGCAGAAGCAGGGCCAAGGAGGAGGATCATCATAAAAGTCACCACTCAGGGGAACCAGTCAGTGCTGGCTGTGACGCCAAGGGGCCTGTTGCAGGCACTGCTGTGGGATTCCTTAGCATCCATAGCAGGTGTCTGTTTGAAGTCGAAATAAATAAAAACTAATAAATCACAATGTAGCAGGAGGGGATCATGGTGAAGCAAAGATTCCCATGAATGCGTGAACACATTTGATTAGGTGGCTGTAGGTCAAAGGAAGTGGGAGATCCCTGTGCTTGACAGACTGCCCCAGGAGATCACACCCTCGCCACCACTGACCTCTCACTCCCATATGGATGAGGGACATTGTTAGAGCAACTCCAGCTGCAGGATGGGCATCTGCACGTCCAGAAAGCGTTTTCAGCTCTTATTTCATGAGCCGCCATCTAACCGTCCTCTTCCTTCCCATCTCTCTCTCCCTTTTCAGCAGGAAGGAGCGCCCTACCTCCCTGAACGTCTTCCCCCTGGCCGACAGCACGGTACGTGCCCAGATGGGGGGCAAGCTCGTGCCTGCGGGGGACCACTGGCACCTGAGTGACCTCGGCCAGCTGCAGTTGAGCTCCAGCTACCAGGTTTTGTAGCCGTGCTGCGGAGTGAGGGTTCTCCTCCCCATCACTCTGCATTCGTTCAGGAAGCCCAGTCTTTGTGAACAACCCTTCACAGCTCCCCGAGTTAGTGACCCTCTCTCCAAGGTGCGACAGTAGTGGAGAAACGGGACCAGCTCAGGAGGGCATGGCCGCAGGCCAGGCTCAGCTGCTTCGGCCACCCCCAGCGTGTCCGTGTGTAGCACCTTCTAGTCCTGGCTAGACCCTTCTGCAGCCAGGGCATGCCCATGTGTCAGGGCTGCGCTTAGGGACCATCTCCCACATACCCCAAAGCCTCACAGCCAGACCAGACGTTACCTCAGACTCGCTATCCCACTGGTGTCTGAAGTTCGCCCTCCAGCTGGGAGGGTGTCAAAGGCAAGGGGTCAGCTTCTCTTCTTTGGGCGATTCTTACCTGCCTGTCCATGCTAATGACCTCTGGGCTTTGAGTTTGAGAAGGTGGACATCCTACGTGTGTGCAGCTCACCAGCGAGTGCACCCCAGGACGGGGGCCCCGGGAAGGCCCAGGGCAGGCTCTCTCACGGCCCATCACTCATTCAGGGCCCCTGGTCACTTGCTGCCGGTTGTGGTCTGTGAGCTCAGCCTGGCTGGTGAAGGCCAGCCATGGCAGGACAGGACACTGGCCTCACTGCCCAGTGAGGATGCCAACCTTGGGGTAGAGGGGGCCACCCTAGGTCTGGTGGATTTCCCACAGAGGCTGTCAGAGGCTGGGTTGGGCCATGGATGTGGGGCCAGGCTTCCCTGGAAGCTCCCTGCTGCAGCTTGTTGCCGGCTGTCCTTCTGGCTCAAAGTGTCCAGCTAACCTGTGGGAGGTTGCTGCCAGCTGCCAGCTGTGTCAGAAAGCCACCCCACTTGCTCTGCTTTTGTCCCGCGGAGTGAGCGCGCCTCTGCAGCTCTGGACCCGGGTGCTCGCCCTCCAGTTACTGGCTGTCTTGCTGGGGATGGGGCGGGGGCAGTCCGGGCAGAAGAGCTGGGGGCCTGCAGCTGGTGCGCACCCCCGAGGCTCCTGAAGGGACACGTGAGCCTCAGACAGCTGTGGAGACCAAGGCCTCCTGGGCGGCCCCTCATGCCGCGGCAGGGCCGGCTTGTCTTCTCATGGCATTGCCTCTCCTCCTCCTCCGTGTCTGAAACCGTCTTCTCCTAATAAATCATAGCATTTTCTGTTTTAGTTCATAGGTGTGTTTCCTTTGATTTTTTTTTAACAATTACATTTAAGTTCTTTTTATTTCACGCTCTAGGTTTTCAGGTTTTTCTAATTTTTAAATTTTTTTTTGTTGTTCTTTTTTTGTTTTTTTGTTTTTATGTACTGTATTTTCAGTGTTTTAACCAAACAGTTGTGGCTACTCATGGGAGGCATGGCCGCTGGGATGTGGGTTCTTTGCATTTGGAGGTCACTGCTGCCCGTTGGTGTTAGAGGTTGGCAGGTTCCTTTAGGTAAGTGGTGGCCAGGGGGCATGTCCTGTGGGTAAGTGGTGGCCTATAGGGTGACAGAGAGCTAGGGTAGCTGGGGGAGCCTGGTTACTCCAAAGAATTCCCCATATCAATTACCAGGGTCAGGCAGCCCTCCGAAACCCCACAGGCACGAGTGTTCAAGCCACGGACAAGCTGGGGAACGTGGCTATGGAGTCAGGTTGTACAGAACACATGTGCTTCCTGGAGATGTGGGCTTGTGCATCCACCCCATCTTTGTGGGAGTCTCTGCACATCCGTCTCCCACTGTCCCCCTTCGAGTGGCAGCAGGGGCCTCCCTGCGGGACGCCCAGGCACCTCTATGCATGGGGTAGACAGCACACAGGGCCCCAGCACCACGGTGTGCAGTGTGTGTGGCATGGTGAAGAGCAAAGGGTTTTTCCTTTTCAAACTGGCCCTAACCTGCAGAACCCAAACCGAAAATGTTTGCACAGAGGTGCTTCTCACCACGGCACATCGGCAATCTGGCCGAGTATCTGTCCTGTGCCCTGTGGGTGCTGAGCTACAGCAATCGGAAGTGCCCCCAGACATCAGCAAACGTCCCCTGGGGACACAGCCGCCAGGATGGGAGCCCTGTCTAGAGGAGGATGTGAGTTGTGAGGTTCCCAGTAGAGAAGTCTTGGGAGCCAGCCCTGGGAGAGGCGGCATCCTGCCTGGGCCCTGTCAGGCCCGAGCAGATCAGGAAAAGGCAGGTCTTGGAAGTTTCCCAACCAGCTGTGACTCATGGTCACCCAGAGGCAGCCACAGGAGTCCTGTCAGCCCTTCTTATTTAAAGGCCGGTATAGGTTGGTCCTCACTTCACAGAGAGGGCCAACACCCCCTGTCATCAGTTCCTCCCATTAGAAAGTTCTCCTGAAATTGTGTCCTTTGGGGGAACCATGTGGTCTAGCACTGGCTGGGCTGTGCACGGGAGCTGCCTCTCAGCGGCACTCCCCCGTCCCCAGGGCCTCAGCCCCTCCTGAGGCCGTGTCCCTTCCTGCCACCATGCAAGAGGCTGCTGGTGCAGGGGTGGTGTCTGGGACACCTGCCCCAGGGCTGAGTTGGGAGTTACTGATATTAGTTACTAGAAGAGCGGGGGTTACTTTTATTGAGATTGCCCAATAGTTTCATGAGGAAAGACCACAGGAGAAGGATGCTTGCTTCCTGTCCCATACTTATTCAAACAGAATGTGTTCTCCAAGAAGATTTTTTTTTTGTTGGGGGGGTTGTCACGTTTTTTAATTTTTGAGCTATAGGTGACATACAGTTTTATGTTAGTGTCAGTTACACTACATAATGATTTGACATTTACACACTTCTGTCCCCAAAGTTATTAAAATGCTATTGACCATATTCTTTATGCTGTATATTACATAGAAATGACTTATTTATTGTACAACTGGAAGTTTGTACCTCTTCATCCCCTTGATCTGTTTGGCCCCACCCACCCCCTCCCCTCTGAAAACTGCCCATTCATTCTCTATGAGTCTGTTTTCGTTTTGTTCCAAGGAGATTCTTAAGGTCGGTGGTCGATTGCAGTTTTTAATGATCTGGTCTCTTTTCACTCCCAGAACATTTGGGGGATGTCCCATTCTGTGGAAGTCGAATTTCCATTTATTTGCATTTATGTAGATGTTGAAGGCATACTTTGATTCAGTTGGGATGTGGGGGTTAAGCAGTACCTGTCCCCTGGTGCCTCTTTGTTGGGGAGGCCACCACAGGTGGAACTGGGGTGGTATGCACCCTTCATAGCCCTGACTATGGCCAGGGTAGGGAGCAGGAGACAGGAACAGGAGGGACTAGTCCTTGAGGCCTCATGGGAGAGCGAAAACTTGACTAGAAGGCATGCTGGCCTCCCCACCTCCTTGCCAGCCCCATTTAGAGCCTCTGTCCAGCCTTGGGCTGTGGCTTCTCTCTGCCACTGCACTGGCTGCAAGGGGTTACCTGCCTCATCTCTGTAGCTTCATGTCTATCATGCACGGCCATACCGGGCCTTCCTGGGGAGCCTGTGAGCTGAAAGCCCGGATCCAAGCCATTTAAGTAAGGTGGCAGCTGCCTCAGGAAACCCAGAGGCTGCAACTGGATGAGCCAAATGACTAGGCTGGGAGGAATCAGCCCAACGGGAGAGAAGAGGCCCCATCCCTTCCATTCTGTGCGCGGAGTGGTGTTTTACTGAGGCCAAGTGGCAGAGAAGGCGATCAAGAGGGCCTCGTGGCAGTGGCCTGCGTGGTCCGCCTGGCCTCCCCTGGGGCCGTGGGGGGCAGCGACCCCAACCACGAGCTTCCCTCTTCCCTGTGTTTGGCCCCAGTGTCAGCAGGACGAGATGTCCGAGTCGGGCCAGTCCTCGGCGGCTGCCACGCCTAGCACCACAGGCACCAAGTCCAACACGCCCACCTCCTCCGTGCCCTCGGCCGCTGTCACGCCCCTCAGCGAGGGCCTGCAGCCCCTGGGCGAGTACGGTGCCGGCACCAAGAACAGCAAGCGGGCCCGGGAGAAGCGCAACAGCCGCAACATGGAGGTGCAGGTCACGCAGGAGATGCGAAACGTCAGCATAGGTACCTCCATTCACCTTCACCACCTCTTAAAGACCCATCTCGAAATGCAGGCATGTTCTGAGGACCTGGGGGTAGGGCTTCAGCATGTGTACTTGGGGGACACAACTCAGCCCTGTCATCCCACAGACCCAGTCTAATTAGAGCAAAGGGAGGGGAGGAATTTGGCCTATTCAGGTGAGACCCTAGAAAGGAGGCACAGTTCTGGGAGACAGGCCCCATCCAGCCCCAGCTTGGGAAGCAGCCTCTCCTTCCAGTCCCTGCCTGGCGGTGGTCTAGCTGGGGTCTCTGGGTAAGGGAGCCCGAGGGCAGCCATGAATCATGGGAGGAGCTGCCAGTCACCCTCCTGACCCCGGTTCCACTGTGTCCCCCAGGCATGGGAAGCAGTGACGAGTGGTCTGACGTCCAAGACATTATCGACTCCACCCCAGAGCTGGACATGGGTCGGGAGCCCCGCCTGGACCGCACGGGTAACAGGTACTCACTGGGCCCAGAGCCCGGTCCCAGTGGGCTCAGCATTTACTGCAGGAGTCGGTGCCCTTGGTGAAGGTGCCCCCGCAGCCTCTGCAAGTGGGAGAACTGCCCAGGGTGCCGACCCGCCACTCCCCGCCACACCTGCACTGCCCACCCGGTGTTGGCAGTGAATGGCCACGCAGGGGTGTCCCGGATGCTGCCACTCACTCCGCCTTTCTCGGCCACGTGTCCTCACAGCCCGACCCAGGGGATCGTGAACAAGGCTTTTGGCATCAACACTGACTCCCTGTACCACGAGCTGTCAACTGCGGGGTCTGAGGTCATCGGGGACGTGGACGAAGGGGCCGACCTGCTAGGTAAACACAAGCCAGCCCCGGCCTGCAGGGCCCGGGCTTGCTGTTGCTGATTTTGTTTGTGATGAAAGCAAAGTCTCTGTGAACCGTGAACCAGGAAGTGCTTTTTACAAACTCTCAAGATTGAGATGTATTTCACCCACCAGAAACTTGCCCACTTAAAGTGTCCTACTCAGCGGGGTTCATGGTCTTGAGCAGCTGTCTAATTGTAGGACATCTCGCCGCCCCAAGGGAAAGCCCACCCCAGTAACCCTAAGCCCCAGCCCTGCTCCAAGCTCCCTCCACTGGGCAGTTCACTCTAGGAACCTTTTGAGAGTGTGGCCATTGCCAGTCTTCCACTCCGAGAGGAACGTGCCCAGACGGGGTCAGTGCCCGCCATGAGCCCTTGCACCGTAGGTCCCCACTGAACTCCCCACGCTGGGTCTGAGTTGGATACAGAGAGCCCCACCTGATGTAGACATGCTCCTGGTTCCCCCTCCCTGAGGGCCCATGAGATGCACGGTGCCCTGTGTTTCCCAGTGTCTGCCCATAGCTGAGGGTGGCCTGTGTGGCTCTGAGGCCAGGCTGTGGCCCTTGGGGTGGCAAGTGGGAAGTCCACACTGTGTCTCTCAGGGGGTTCAACTCCCCCCACCCCATCCCTGACTGTGAATCTGGAGCCCAAGCCTGGAGAAGTAGCATTGTCCCTGAAGCCCTGCTGGGGACAAGAGCTCCAGGGCCTGGGGCTGCAGCTCGAGCCCCACCACCACCACCTCCACAACCAGTGAGGTGGGCTTTGGGGCAGTGTGTGGCTCTAAGGTCAGGGCACGTTCTGGTGTGTCCTTTCCCTACATCCAGTCCCTCTGAGGGGGCCCACAGGGTGTTTCTCATGGGAAGAGGCAGCAGCTTGAACCCGGGGCAGCTGCCTCAGCTGGACACGTGGTGAGTGGGTGGTATCAAGTCTACTTCCAAAATCTTGGAGGACTGCCTTCTGACATGGTCTATACTGTACTATGTGCTGCCTGAGGAGGCGGAGCTGCCTTGCATCTAAGAGATATCACTGTTTGTCTTTCTGCGGCTGTCCCTCCCTGCTGACACACGCTGCCCATGGGGCCTCGGGGTGCCTCTGGAGCACATCTGGGCTTCAAGTCAGCTGGCTGTGTGGACCATGCTGCCCAGCCAGCCTCCCATCTGCAGACACAGCCAGGCCTGAGCCCGCAGGAAGAGGGCCCAGCTGGTGTCTTCGTGGAAGTTCTTCCCAGTGCATCTGAGGGGTGTTTGTTCTGAGGAGCCAGATGTGAGAATCCTTTTCTCATTTGGTAGCAAAGCGCAGGAGTCTCTGCCCTCAGCACTTGCACTGTGATGGCTGACAGGACTCTTGCCTCTGAGCACCACTCAGTTCTGGTTGGAATGAGACCCCAGCTCTTGGGAGTAATGTGTCTTCTGGTGCCTTTCTGGGGCTTTCACCACAAGGGGCACAGGTCAGGCAGCCCTGAGGAGCTGAGGAGCATTGGGTGCTCTTGTGATCTGTGCATGGAGCCCTGGAGCAGAGGGGCCTGCCCTTTGCCCAGCAGGGTAGAGGGGTGAGCTGGGGTTGGCTCTAGTCCCCTCTCCCCAGGGGCTCTGTCCTGGGTCTGGCTCAGCTGGAGGAAGTGTCAGTGATGGTAGTCCTGGTCACCCATCATCAATTCCTGAAGACACCCATCGAAGGAGTGGACACCTGACCTTCAGTTCCCCAGGCAGGAAGAAACTGGAGCAGTGGTGGCTCTGCTGGTCTTGGTTTGGTCATAGCTTTCACAGTGGATAGTCTTGTAATTTCAAAACACATTGATGCTTTGTCTGCAATGAGATAGATGCTTCTTAAGGTAGTTGGCCTGGTTGATGAGGCATCCCTCAAGCTCTAAATACCTGGATTGGCTGCTCTGTGCATCTCTTGGCATTAGGACTGTGAATTCCTCTGGCACAGAAGGAAAGGAAAGATCGCTGGGTAGGCATATACCACTGTATTTCATTGAACCCACACTATCACTACTTGTAAGGCACCATTATTTTAGAAATCTCCAAGAAAAAAAATTGCTGCACATTGCACTATAACATGCCACTGATTGTAAGACCCATTTATAATTTCAGAACGGTTAAGGTGTGAAAAATATACATCTGAGAATCAGCCTTGAGGAGTAAGGGAGTTGGTACTTATTGACCACTTAGCAAGGGCCTAGCGCTCCACCAGGGAATTTCACAGTGACCCCCCACTCAGGAAGGCACGTCTCCACTTCACAAATGAGGAAAGTAAAGTTCAGAAAAGCTAAGCAACTTCTCCTGCATCACCTAGAATTGGATGTTCTGCACAGGTTGATCTGACTTTCCCTCTGCTCTGCAGCAGGTCCCACCCATGCAGTAACCAGACCTAGAAATGTCTAGAAATAACCTTGAGAAAAAGTCAAGCCTGTGTAAAGAGAATTAGAAAGCAGAATTGAAGAACAGGAAAGAAGCATGAATAAATAGAAATACAACACAAGACTGGGCTCTGTAATGCCATCAGGTGACATCACGTATCAGTCCATTGTTCATACATAAATTCATTCAGTACCAAGAAAAAGACCCTCAGACTTAGTATTTTTCTGGAATTTTATGTATGGATTCGAAGTTCATTCAGAAGTGTAAATGTGTAAAAATAGCCCAGAAATTTTTAAGAGAAGACAGATTTGCAGGACTGCCATTCCAGGTACCAAAGGTGTTTTGTGAAGCTACAGTGATGGAGACAGGCAGCTCTGGAGCAGCGATAAAACCAGTCACTCCAAGTTCACAGCACGAAGGCTTAGGATGAACCTGGAGCCAGCTGGGAATTCCTATCTGATAAATGAAGACCTTCAAGTCATTGGAAAAATGGGTGGATTACTCAATATATGTACTGGATTAGCTGAGTAGCCACTTGGAAAAAAAAGAAGGCTGATCCCAACCTCACACCCAACAGAAAAGTAACTTCTAGGTGGATTAAAGATCTAAACATAAAAATACAAGGGTAATAGAACTGGAAGAGAATATTAGAGAGTATTTTCATAATCTGGGCCTCTCTTCATGGCCAAAGGCATAGAGGAAAATATTGACAGGTGTGACTACGTGAAAATATATATATGATCTCCATCATTAAAGTGAAGGGAAGTACAGTAGGAAATGGGTAGAAGATAAAGTAGGAAGTTCACAGAAGATACTCATAAACATATGCAAGGATGCTCAACTTCAGGAATGACAGAAATGAAAATTAAGAAAGTATAGAGGTAGCGCTTTCTCCTCAAATGATTGGCAGAAAAGAAGCAGGTGCTGTCCACCCCACTGGTGGGAGGTGAGTAGAGATAGCGCAAGCAGGAGCACAGGTTCTCAAACAGGGCACAGTGCGCCCACATGAGGTCTTGTGCTGCAGTTTCCCGGGGCTCACGCAAAACTATAAATGCCCTAAATATCTATCAAAGGAGCAAATGCTACAGTAAATAGTGGGACATTCCTATATGGCAATACATTGAAACATCCTTGGTGATCATGGATCTTTGACAGGGAAAGAGGCCAGGGATACCATATTAGGTACTACCAAGCAGTCGCCCAGGAGGATGGAGAGCGTGGCTGTGATTTTGTTTTTACAAACTGCTGTTTACCTAGAAAGAGGTCTGAGGAAGAGGACATCAACTGTTAACCTCGGTTGCCCTGGGAAGGAAATGGGAGAAAGGTCATGTCTGCTTTTGGTGCTCTGCTGTGTAATGTGAATTCCTACAGCAGAGTCCGTATTTTGTGATAAGTCAAGTGACTTTCTATACCACTTCTTTCTGCATGAAATGAACCAAATAGAATAGTATCTTGCATCAAGTCTTCAACTGGGTTGTGGGGAGTAGTTTGGTACATGGCAGCCCTACATGCCCCACACGCTTTGTCCAGACTCGTTGATTTCCTCCCTGCACAGTAGAGCCCTTTACCTGAAGTCTTGTCCTTCCCAGAAGACCTGGGCTGGCCATGGTGCCCCCACCCCGAGGGGCCAGGTCCTCCACTGCAGCTCACTGGCTCAGGGCTCACTCACTCTAGGGGCGCCAGCACCCACCTCACCCCACTTTTGAGCAACCACATGCACACACATGTTACCTTTATTGGGGGCTGGCCCTCCTGATGGGAGTGGGTGGAGAGGCAAGCAGGCTTTGGATCCGCACATCCACCCAGGCCTCCCAGGGACTGAGGAATGTGCTGTCTGGCCTCCTTTCCTTCAAGGTCCCTGCCTCCAATAGGATTGTCACCCACAGACCTGGTGACATCCACTTCTATTCTCCCATACCCTTGAACTTGGAAATGGCTGATCATTGTTGCTTTTCCTTTAATAAGAGTTTTTTTTATTTTGTTGGTTCCAGTCACCAACTGACCTTTGTCACTTCCTTCCCCCTGTCTCTCTGTGCTTCGCTGGACATGGCCCCAGGGGAGTTCTCAGGTGTGTATCTCCATTATCTGTCTGTCTGCAGCCCCCTCGTCCCCTCAGTGGGGTCTGGGTGGATGGAGCACATCCTGGGGCAACCCTGCTGCAGCCTACCCCTTCCTGATCCCGGGCGAGGCCACTAAGGCACACGTGCTTTTGCTCACCAGCCTGCTGCTGCCCAGAGGCTTATTTTGGTTTGCTCCACTAGCCCACTGACTCTGACCTTGACAACTGAGGGAGAACTGCTATGCCCTTGACCCATCCTCTCCTCGAAGGCTGGGGACCCCCCAGGGCCACTTCTCAAGGGTCTCCAGAGCCATTAGAGGTGTAGGCCCAGTTCTCTTCTGTCTCCCCTCCGTTGGGTGCTCCCCCCTAGAGGTCAGGGGTCCTGTGAGGCCCCCTACCAAGCACAATTCAGGGGTCCTTTCTCTACGTAGCAAATGGGCCAGGCTTCTGTTGTCTGGCTTTCAACAAGAAGCTCTGAGGTCCCTGGCTGTCCAGGTGTGACCTCCCCATGGTGCTCAAAGGCCCTGGGCCCTGGGCACAGCTCTCCCTCATTTGCAGAGATTCCTGTCCTTAACCCCCGATCCCTCCCTACCCAGGATTTTGGTCTAAGATGTCAATTGTATTGCTCTGACCCTTCAACTCACCACCAGGCGCTCTTGGCCTGGTGGTCTTCTGTGTAACCTCCAGGGTAGGCTTTCTGGAAGGAGTGGCTGGCTCCATTCCATCTGCCCATCCTGTCCTGCTCCTGTGTCCACCCCTAACCCAGCAAGAAGTAACCCTGAAATATCCCCCATTCCCGGCCGCCCTGCTTATCACATGGGCTTAACGCGCTTGTTTTCTCTCCCTTCCTCTCTCCCTCTCCTCCTCCCGCCCTGGTTGCCCATCTCCTGTGGGACGGGGACGGCACCCGTAGTGCGCGATGATTTTTTTGGTAAGGCCAAGGCCTCGTCTCAGTGTGTGTCTCCCTCTGTCCACCTGACACCTTCGCATGCTTCCTGAGCTGCCTGCTTTGTTGCGCATGGTGGGGCGGCGGGGTGGGGGGTCAGCGCGGCCAAAGCTTCTGGGGGGTGGGGCCTCCAGTAGGCCTGGTGAGCCCCCCCATAAGCTCAGGGCAGGCTCGGCCCCTGGGGGTACCCCTGAGCCTGTCTGGGGTGAGCCCGGTGCCTATTGCATCCCATCTGAGGGGAAGGCAGGTCACGTTGCGGCCAGGAGGGGAGAGTGGAAACAGTAGGGGAACCTGCACTGAGCACACAGTGTGCGTGTCATCCTGTCTCACAATCGATCGAGTTAGGCCAAGGAGGGACGAGAACAAGAGAAACAGACCTTGGGTTTCCAGGGCTGTCCTGAAGGATGCGATTCAGTGCTCGGGGGTTTCTGTGACATGCCTGCGGAGACCTCAGTTTGCAGAGTCCACTTTGGGGCCTGGTCACAGAGGAGCCCGGTCAGCCCTGCTGGGGCACCAGTCCCAGGGAGCGCTGTCCTTCTCATTTCCACTCCCTCCCCTGCCTCCGCCGCCTCGGGCCAGGTCCCAGTAGATCTGCTTCTAGCCCAGTGGAGGGCTGCACCTGACTGGGCTGTCCCATCTCCTCAGTCAGGGTCTCCCTGTCATCCTGTGCCATCTTCTCTGTTCCCCCTCAACAGCTCCAATCTCTATCTCCTAGGAGGCAGCTCTGAAAGAGGTTGGCTTCATGACAGCCAGGGAACCACAGGGCTAGGGGAAAGGGGGTGATGCTGGGGGGAAGGGCAGAGATTGAGGTGGTTGCACAGAGGCCGTCAGGGTTGGCTCAGGCTGGTGCCGCCCTGGCCCTGCTGGAACGCAGACCTTCCGTCGGTAGAGCTCCAGAATGTAAGCCATTAGGGCAGTGGGAACCAGCTCAGTGCCCTCCAGAGACCAGTCTGAGATGCTCATGGGGTTCGGACACAGCAGGGCCTTCCCTATCCATGGAGAGCCTGCCAGAAGACCAGCAGAGGCCTTTCCCCAGGGCCGGCCCGGCCTCCCTGTGCGGGCGTCTTCCTGTAGATTGGGCTTCCGGTCCTTATCCCTTCACACCAGCCCTCCTGGCAGGATGTTTGTTCCTCTGAGGCAGGTGTGGTAGCATCAGGGTCTGGCTTCACCAGGCATACATGCTAACAGTAGACCTTTTGTTGCAGGAATGGGCAAAGAAGTGGGGAATCTGCTGCTGGAGAACTCACAGCTTCTAGAAACCAAGTAAGAGTGCCCTTCATCAGCACTGAGGTTGCTGGGACAGCCCCTCACCAGGGCCAGGGCCTCCTGTCACCACTGCCTCAACCTTGCTTGGAGGGCAGCCCCCAGGCAGGACCTGGATCCACACCGCTGCACTCACCTAGCCTGGGGAGAGGGTGGCATGGGTACTGCCTTTCACCACTTTCAGGACCAGGATGTGTCTTCTCAGATCTACTAGTGTGGCCAGACCCCTTGGAAACCATGTCACTTAATGTACACACCAACTCACAAGGGGCTCCCCTCTTTTCTGTCTTTTCAAAGAAATGCCCTGAATGTGGTCAAGAACGACCTCATTGCCAAGGTGGACCAGCTGTCGGGGGAGCAGGAGGTGCTGAAGGGGGACTTGGAAGCCGCCAGGCAGGCCAAACTCAGGCTGGAGAGCCGCATCAAGGACCTGGAGGAGGAGCTGAGGAGGTGGGCGGGCTCCCTGAAGGGGCGGGGCCCCCAGGGGAGGGATCAGAGTGGGGCTTCTGGTTGTCAGCGAGAGGATGGGGCCAGTTCTCTCCTGTCCTCTCTCTGAAATGCCCTGGCGTCTGCTCTTGGCTAACTACACTCTGAGGTCCTTCCTTCCCAAAGTGGCTCACTTGGTGTGCTCACTGCTCAGCCTCAGTTCACATCTGATTCCATCCAGACCCAAGTACTGTGTTGGCCACCCACTCCACCCCTCTTGTCTCCACCATCCTCGTGGGAATCCTGCAGGGGACACAGCGGTTCTGACTTGGGCATCCTTCCTCCGACGGCCGAGCACGGCCTTCCTGCTGCTCTCACACTGTGACATTCATTAAGAAGGAAGGAGGGACGATAAGGGCCTCTGGCCACCATGGGTCCCCCTGCTCCCCTCTGCTCCCCACCCCTTGGTCAGCAAGACTGGCCTCATCTGGAAGCTCTGCGGTCTCCTCCACAGCTCTCTGCACTGCCCTGTGGCCTTTCTCTTCCAGCTTGATCCTCACCTTATTCTCCTGGTGCCCATGGCTCCCGACAGGAACAGGGAGGTGTGAGACAAGGGCCCTAGGCAGGTGGCCCCTGTGCCAGGTTTGGGGACTGGGAGCCAGATCTGCCCTGGGCCTGCCTGATGCCAGTGCTGCCCTTGCCCAGGAGGTAGCTTGCTCTGCCTTCCCATCAGCACTTGACCACCTGAGCCTCAGGGCTCATTCCTTGCTGGGCTTCCGGGCACACATGAGCAGGGGCAGGGAGCCATTCATCCCCAAGGCACTGGTGGGAACCTTAGGTCCCTGAACCTGAAGGGAGAGCCCTGAGTTCGGCTGAGAGATGGGACACAGCCTCCCAGCTGGTGCCCTGTGGGGCTCTCACCACTGCCTGCTTCCTTCCTTGTCCTGTAGGGTGAAGTCAGAGGCCATCACTGCCCACCGTGAACCCAAAGAAGAGGTGGAGGATGTAAGCAGCTATCTCTGTACAGAATTGGTATATTCCACTATTAACATGCGGGCACGGGGGGTGGGCAGTGTGGGGTGGGCCCCAAGGGATGCGCTGGTTCTTCTGGGTCTCTGGGCCCTCACCCCTCCTGTGTGGCGACTGCACCCAGCAGCAGCAACACCCCGCCCTGCTTTCTGTGGGATGCCTCCTCTCGGCCCCAAGTCTTTTGCGTGTAGGTGCATTTTGCAGTCATGATCGGGGTCTCTCTGCCTGCTCGGCCCAGCCGCTCTCCCCAAGACAGAACAGCTTGAGTACCTGAGGCCCTCAGGCCCCTCATCTGTCCTCACAAGCTCCCAGAGGTGCATGGAATGTTCTGAGGAAAGCCCTCCACCCCTCTGCTCCCTGGTGGTCCATAGCTGATTGCTCCTAGGAGTGTCTGTGAGGAAGGGTTTGTAGGGCTCCTTGTCTTCCCACCTTCTCTCCAGAATAGGGCCCAGCCACCTGGCCACCTTCCTTAAGGAGAGGGCTGGCATGGATCTTCAACCCAAGGTAGATTTGGAGTGCCAACCTCCCCACTCATCAGCTGTATTTTTGGGGGGTTGTGCAATGCACGTATCAAGATGCTGGCCATGTAGCAGGCACTTGGGAGGCTGTAGCTGTTCATCTTCTCCGTCCTGTGCAGCCCCCCACCTCCAAGTACTGGAGGAGAGAAAGTAGGGACTCGTGGAGCACGAGTTGCCTGTTTGGTGCCTTGGCCTCCTTGCATTGGGCCTGGGGCTGCAGACGCACCCCTGAACTCCAAGTGCTGGCAGTTGGGGCCACTTGGGGGGATGCCCTGCTGCCCACCTGTGCTGCTCCCCCTTGGGCCCCCAGTGCCCTGTGGCAGCCTGGGGCCAATTTGCATAAGGAGACTTGGTCACGCCCTGGATGGCGGATCCCACGCTGAACCACCGGTTCCTCAGGCGTCCGGTTCAGGCGTAGTGAGCGGGTCCTGCTCGCTAGACCTCCCCTAAGACCTCTCTTCCTGCTGCTCCACCTTGGGCTGTCTCCACCATGAGCATGACCAGAGGCATCTGAGATTGCCCAGTGTCCAGGAACTCGTAGGAAAAGACACCAGGGTTGCATCCCTCAAGTGTGTCATGTGACCTTCTGGAAAGAAGGGGGTATTTTCAGGGTGGGTGGCTCCTGTCCCTGTGCCCATGCCCTCCCCACTGTGTTTGCCTGAAGATCCATGGGAGAGCCGCACTCGGGTGCCCCCACCCCTGGGCGGCCCCTGCAGGCTGAGCAGCAGCGCTCTACCTTGTAGGACAAGATCCCCATGGCTCAGCGCCGCCGCTTCACCCGGGTGGAGATGGCCCGTGTGCTCATGGAGCGGAACCAGTACAAGGAGCGGCTGATGGAGCTGCAGGAGGCCGTGCGGTGGACCGAGATGATCAGGTGGGTCTCGGGGCCTCCGTCTTTATCTGGAAGTTGCGATCACTCTGAGGAGCTCCTGGTGATGGATTAAGGCTGACCCCCATCCCTCCTTCTCTTGGGGAGGATTGAAAGGGTGCCGAGTCCCTCTGCTGGGGCCAGTGCAGCAGGGTCCCTCTAGGAAGTCATAAGTGACCCACCCAGGAGCCCCTCTTGTCTGATGCTCCATCCCCAGTGGGTTCATGTGGGGGTCCCTAGCAAGGGAGGAAAGGGGGGCCCCGTGAGAGCAGGGTGTGTTGGACTGGGCAGGGCCGAGCCAGATGGGGCAGTGGCTGAGCAGGAGCTTCTTCCCCTGCCTCTCACTGTAGGGCGTCCCGAGAGCACCCATCTGTCCAGGAGAAGAAGAAGTCCACCATCTGGCAGTTGTGAGTTGGGGGCGCTGGGAGGGTCTGGGCAGTAGCCACAGTTGTGGGGATCTCCTCTCGGGCCCACCCCTCACCCCCCACCCCTCGGCTGGCAGCTTCAGCCGCCTCTTCAGCTCCTCCTCCAGCCCACCTCCGGCCAAGCGGTCCTATCCCTCTGTGAACATCCATTACAAGTCGCCCACCACAGCCGGCTTCAGCCAGCGCCGCAGCCATGCCATGTGCCAGATCTCTGGCAGCCGGCCCCTGGAGTTCTTCCCAGATGAGTGAGTTTCTCAGGGCCTCCCTGCCCTCCCCGCTGGCCCACACAGGGGGAAGCCACAGGTCCCAGGGCCCCTCCCTTCCAGGCCTCCACCTGGCTGCTTTAGGGGCTGTCATGGGGGTGTGGGGATGGCATCCAGGCATCAGGGGTCATGACCTCTTCATGTACATCCTGTGTCCCATTCCCTAATGGGAGTATTGGATGTCCTTGGCAGAGGCTGCACTCCTCCACAGTCTCTCTTAGTCCCAGAGACATGTGCCTTGCTCCTTGGATGACAGAAGCTTATGGAAGTTTCCCTATAAAGGGCCAGGGTCGGGGAGGGGAGGCTACACTGTAGGTCCCTGCCAGCCAGGCCTTGGTGACAGTGACAGTAGAACAGACAAGGGCAGGGACTGGACATGGCCTCAAGCATAGTGTCGGGGAGACCCCCGCAAAGATGGGCGCTGGGAAAAGGCAAGGACAGGTCCAGGAGGGAGGGCTGGGGTGTTGGGCGTGCTCCCTGCAGACCGAGCGGTAACCTCTCTTCCTCTGCCCAGTGACTGCACGTCCTCAGCCCGGCGGGAGCAGAAGCGCGAGCAGTACCGCCAGGTGCGGGAGCACGTGCGCAACGACGACGGGCGGCTGCAGGCCTGTGGCTGGAGCCTGCCGGCCAAGTACAAGCAGGTGCCTGGGGGCGTGGGGCAGCACGGGGGACACCCACCCCCTCAGCCAGGCCTCCCAGGCCGCAGAAGGGGAGCCCCTGGGGAGTCGCCTGCACACACCCGGCTCCACCTGAGGAGGGCCTGGCCCCCTCTGCCCAGGGCCTGCCATCTGCAGCCCCAGCCCGGATTCTGCAAGACTGGGTAGCCAACCGCTGCCCACATACCCGAGCTGGCCCAGGCCTGGTGCCCACAGTGCCCCTCTGTCTTGTGCTTGCAGCTGAGTCCCAATGGGGGCCAGGAGGACACGCGGATGAAGAACGTGCCTGTTCCCGTGTACTGCCGTCCTCTGGTGGAGAAGGACCCCACCATGAAGGTGAGCCAGGGAAGGGCTGGGGCCAGGAGAGTTCCCCTCCCCTCAGAAGCCAAGTCTCGGCAGGTTTGGGAAGCAGGGAGGAGTGGGTTCCTGGACCTCACAGCCCTGTGCCCCCAGCTGTGGTGTGCGGCGGGCGTCAACTTGAGCGGGTGGAAGCCGAATGAAGAGGACCCTGGGAATGGAGTCAAGCCTGCGCCGGGCCGAGACCCTCTGACCTGTGACCGGGAAGTAGAAGGAGAGTCCAAGAGCAACCACACATCCCCTGAGAAGAAGAAGGTCAGAGTGGCAGGCAGGCCAGGGCTACCTTCTGCTCCTAATGCCCAAATGGCTCTGCTGTGCCCAGCAATCTGGGTGGGAATGACAGAAACAGAACAGATGGGGACAGTGGCCCAAGACTGGGCTCATCTGAGGTTCCCTCCCCTCCCCAGGGCTGGCTGGGCCATGCTGCCTCTGCGGGGCAGGATGCTCGGCAGACAGCCCGGCTGGAGGGGTCAGGCCCACAGGTGCTGTGATCTTCCTGCCAGGAGCACATCTCTCTGCCTGCCCAGGGGCAGGGGGAGGGGCTAAGCACTTGGAGTCCAAGGCTTCATTTTATGTCTCAGCTTGACTTGGGGGCCAGTGACTTATTGCTCAGAGCTCATCCTTTTTCTGAGGAAGGGAGGTCACATGTACCACGATCCAGATGTGATATGCAATTAGGAGTTCTTGCCATCCTGGCGACAGGGGAGGACAGTCGGGTCCCCTAAGGCCACAGGCAAGGCTAGATCCTGAGAGATTCCGGGAGGCCCCTCCAAACCCTGTGTTGCCGGGCGAGTAGCGTGCTCTCAGGCCACCCTGTCCCCATACTCTGAACAGGGAAAGGAGCTGCCGGAGGCAGACACCACCTCCAGCCGCGTGTGGATCCTCACCAGCACCCTGACCACCAGCAAAGTGGTGATCATCGACGCCAACCAGCCGGGCACCGTCGTGGACCAGTTCACCGTGTGCAATGCCCACGTCCTGTGCATCTCCAGCATCCCCGGTGAGCGCTGGCCCCCTACCGCCCAAGGGTGCAGCTTTGTGAGACTCAGAGGGGAGCCAGAAGATCAGCACCACCTCCTTGTGCTGGGGGCTGGGGGGAAGCATCCAGAGAGGAGCTCACTGGTGGTCATGTCCTGCTCAGTCCCATTGATGTCGCAGGGGACCCCAGTCTGACACTCACTGATGACAAAGATATGGGGTGGCATCGCAGGTGGCCTGGGAGTCCCAGGACTCAAGCTCTGGGTGTCATCTTGCAGTGGGGTCTCCTCAGTGTGAGGTGACAGGGCTGTGACTCTCCCCCTAGCGGCCAGCGACAGCGACTACCCTCCAGGGGAGATCTTCCTGGACAGCGATGTGAACCCCGAGGACTCCGGTGCCGATGGTGTGCTGGCAGGCATCACCCTGGTGGGCTGTGCCACCCGCTGCAACGTGCCACGCAGCAACTGCTCCTCCCGCGGGGACACTCCGGTGCTGGACAAGGGCCAGGGTGAGTCCTGAGCCTGAGCCCACGGCCATCCTCTCTTCCCCAGCCCAGCTCACCCCTCCCTTCCACAGGGGAGGTGGCCACCGTCGCCAATGGGAAGGTCAACCCATCTCAGTCCACGGAGGAGGCCACGGAGGCCACAGAGGTGCCAGACCCTGGGCCCAGTGAGACAGAGGTAGCCGCAGTACGGCCTGGACCCCTCACAGAGCACGTCTTCACGGACCCAGCCCCCACCCCACCCCCCAGTGCTCAGCCTGACAGGTGGGCTCTCACGATGGGGCTGAGGGGGAGGGGAGCCTGGTGGAGGTGGGCGGGGCTGGGCTTCCCTAGTTAGAAACCTTCCTGGAGCTCCCATCTTCCCCTCAGTGAGAATGGGCCAGAGGCCAAAGTGAGTGGTGTACAGCCTGAGCCAGAGCCCAGTGGGGACCCTGCCGGGGCCAGCAGCAGTGCCGCGCCCACCATGTGGCTGGGAGCCCAGAATGGCTGGTAAGCTGGGCCTTGGGGGCAGGGGTGGGGTGGGTCCCCTGGGTGAGCCCCACCCACCATGCCTCCCCCACAGGCTCTACGTACATTCAGCTGTGGCCAACTGGAGGAAGTGTCTGCACTCCATCAAGCTGAAGGACTCGGTGCTGAGCCTGGTGTGCGTGACCCTGCCGGGGGTCAGGGCAGGGCGGCAGGGGGGCCTGACAGCCGAGGGTGCCAGCCTAAGCCTGGCTCACTGCCTTTCCATTGCAGGCACGTGAAAGGGCGAGTGCTGGTGGCTCTGGCAGATGGGACTCTGGCCATCTTCCACCGAGGTGAAGGTGAGGCCTGGCCCAGTGGGTAGGGGAATAGCACCCGCCGATGCTGGCCGGGCATGAACCATGCCCGCCTGAGCAGAGATGGCCTGAGCAGGGGTTGTGGGCTCTCTGCAGATGGCCAGTGGGACCTGAGTAATTACCACCTGATGGACCTGGGCCGCCCACATCACTCCATCCGCTGCATGGCAGTCGTGTACGACCGTGTTTGGTGTGGCTACAAGAACAAGGTGCACGTCATCCAGCCCAAGACCATGCAGATCGAGGCGAGTGCGGGCAGGTGGCCGGGCTCAGCCGCACCCTCCAATGGACTCTAGCGGGGGCTTCATGGGGTCCAAGGAAATGCACTCAGAGAAATGACTGGTTTGTCCAAAGTCATGGGCAAGCAAAAAGCAGCTGGGCTGTGAATGCCAGTCTGTCCAGACAGACTGATGGCCTAAGTGGGCCCCGAGCACCTCCTGGGTGCTGGCTGTGGGTGCGGGTGCAGGGTGGGCACTAGGGCTCCTCTTGGGAGCCAGGACTCAAGGGAGCAAAGCAGGCCATAGAGAGCTTGCCATGAGCTGTGTGGATGTCCTGGTGACACTTGGTGGTGGCAGGTTCAGAGCTCCCCTCACCCCTGCCCCGTTGACGGGTTGCCCTGACACCGCAGAAGTCATTTGATGCGCACCCACGGCGGGAGAGCCAGGTGCGGCAGCTGGCGTGGATCGGTGACGGGGTGTGGGTGTCCATCCGCTTGGACTCCACGCTGCGGCTCTACCATGCCCACACCCATCAGCACCTGCAGGACGTGGATATCGAGCCTTACGTCAGCAAGATGCTGGGTGAGGGACTGCCTGGGCCAGGTGGGCGGGGGCAGGAGGGCCCCCCGTGATGGCCCCACTGACCCACCTTCCTCTCTACCCACCAGGCACAGGCAAGCTGGGCTTCTCCTTTGTGCGCATCACAGCCCTGCTCATCGCGGGCAACCGCCTCTGGGTGGGCACCGGCAACGGGGTCGTCATCTCCATCCCACTGACCGAGAGTGAGTGACCCCCAAGGCAGTAGCAGAGATATTGATGGCTGCGGCTTAGGCGCGCGAGTCAGGGTCCCAGGCTCCCATGCTCTGCCCAGGCACACTCAGGAAGACACGAGCTGCCCTGGCCACAGCTCTTCTGTGACTGCTTTTCTCCTCTCCCTTCTATGCTCTGTCCCTCACCTCCCCCAGCCGTGGTCCTGCACCGAGGCCAGCTCCTGGGGCTCCGTGGTAAGTCCAGAGTGCCTGCCTCCTGCTCTCAGAAGGAAGTCCCCTACCTAACCTGGGATGCCCTGGGGATGAGGCTGGCCTTGCTCTCTCACCCTCTGCTCTCCCTGCTGGAAATCCAGGCCTCCCCACCAGCAGGCTCAGCTGCTCCTGCCTGGCCCCTCTCTCTCTCCAGCCAACAAGACATCACCCACGTCTGGGGAGGGGACCCGCCCAGGGGGTGTCATCCACGTGTATGGTGATGACAGCAGTGACAAGTCAGCCAGTAGCTTTATCCCCTACTGCTCCATGGCCCAGGCTCAACTCTGCTTCCACGGCCACCGTGACGCTGTCAAATTCTTCGTATCCGTGCCAGGTGAGGGGCTGGCCCTGCTCCCCACAGAGCTGCAGCTGTGACCTCCTTCAGGAGCCTGCATCGGGGCTCCAGCTGCCCCGCTGACATCTTGTGCCCTAATGACAGGGAATGTGTTGGCCACTCTCAACGGCAGCGTGCTCGACAGCCCGTCTGAGGGCCCCGGGCCCGCTGCCCCCGCCGCCGACGCTGAGGCCCAGAAGCTGAAGAACGTGCTGGTGCTGAGTGGTGGCGAGGGCTACATCGACTTCCGCATTGGTGAGTGGGCATGCCCAGGGCCCCAGGTATCCCCTGGCAGTGGCAGCCCCTTCACGGCAGCTGCCCTCTCTCTCCAGGCGATGGAGAAGATGACGAGCCCGAGGAGGGTGCAGGGGATGTGAGCCAGGTGAAGCCCATGCTGTCCAAGGCCGAGCGCAGCCACATCATCGTGTGGCAGGTGTCCTACACCCCCGAGTGAGGCTGCGGCCTCCGGCACCCTGCCCCGCCCAATGCCTGCCACCTGTACATACAGCCCTGCCCACCTGCCCACCACCCGCCCTGCAGGCAGACAGGCACCCGTCCACCCCTCTTCTAACCTCTCAACCTGCAGCTTTCACCTTAGGTCCTGGCCTCCCTTTGAGCTGGCAGAGAGCAGCGATGCAGGGCTGGCTGGGAGGGAGGCACGGGAGTGGGGTCATTCTGACCAGGCAGGGGTAGCACCTCTTGGAACACCTTTTCCCTAGCAGCTGCTGGCTGGCACTCAGCCCACAGTCCTCAAGGCCCCAGGGCACTTCAGGGCCAGAGCATGGCTGAACCCCGAGGTGGGTCAGGCCAGGAGACGCCCCTACAGGTGGCTCCCAGCTCCACCCTGGGCTCCCCACTCCCGTCACTCACTCCCAGGATCCCCCTGAGGGGGAAGCAGGGACTTCACTCCGTGAGTCTTCCCACCCTGAGCCCACTTGCCTTTGCCTGCTGCCCACCAGCGTGGGGGTCCAACCCTCAGGGAACTGGCCTTCTCTAGCCTTCCCTGGACTCCCCCTACCCTAATCCCTGCCGCCCTGGGAACTGGCATGAAAGCACGTAACCAGGCTCCCTGGGGCACCTGCTTGAGAAAATGGACAGATGCCCTCACTTGCTCGAGTCCCATGATCGTCCTGTGTGGCAGTTTCTCACTGGCCCTCACTGACCCATGTCCTCCCCCTGCCCTCCCTCCCCTGCCTGGGCAAAGACCAACCATGTAGGAGCAGGCCCTCCAGTCAACTGCTCCCAGAAGTCTCTAGGATGGAATTTCTTAGGCTGCCAGGGCAGGCTCAAGCCTCAGGAAGAAGGGGAGGCCCCTGGCCCCTTGGATGCAGGCTCAGTCTCAGGGTGATGGGGAAAGGTGTGCTCCAGGCCTGCCCCTGTGCAGTCTCCAAGGAGCCCAGCTCCCAAGACACGCTACTAAGTGCCTAGGGCTGGCGGTGTGGCCTGCTCTCCTGAGGGCAACTGACGACAGGCTGCAGAGGTCCGAAGGGCGGAGGACAGGAGCCGCTTTCAGCCGGCTTTGAGGGGCACCGCCCTGGACTGCCACTACCCCCCAACCTGCCCAGGCCTTATTCCTGTTCCTCGAGGCACAGATCAGGGCAGCCCCAGGTCCTGCTGCCCACCCCTCCCACCAGAGAAGCACAGATCTTGGGCAGCCATCCTACAAGCCCAGCCGGCCACCGCCGCCACGTGCAGCTGCAGGCTTCTCCCTACCACCCCGCCACTCTCCACTGTGATGTATGTCAAGTCCCCTGTCTATTCTCACAGGGCTATGAAGTGACTCGGGGGGGTCGCCAGGGGGGTGCAGCTAGGGGAAGGGGCTGGGTGATGATTCTCCTCAGGCTTTGGCCCTGCAAGTGAACCTACGTATCTGCTCTGTATGTAATAAATGTCTTAATACCATACTTCTGTGTCCCTGGGCCCAAGCCAACTCGAACACAAAGATTTTCTTCAGTTTATTATAAAAAACGCTGGGGCCAGCCAAGCGCCAGGATAGCGCCCTGCCCCGTTTCCAAGAGGACTGAACAGGGGCACAGCCTGGGGCTCCCGCAGGGAGGCCTGCAGCAGCCAGGGCTGGGCAGGCGTGCACCTGTCTGCCCTCCTCTAGGTCCTCAAGGCTGTTGTGCTCCCCACCACAGGAAGGGTGTTCTGAGCTCCTGGGGGTGGGGGCGCCCACGTGTGTGCACACCTCCGGGGCCTGGAGATCCACGTCAGAAGGGGGCATCTGCCTGAGAGGCTGCAACCCGCCTACTCGTACAGCCAGTGCCCGGCGCTGTCCTCCCAGCACAGGAGCTCATCCGTGCGGAACCAGAGTGCGATCTCGCGGCGGGCGCTCTCCACTGAGTCGCTACCATGAATCACATTCCTGCGCCGAAGAGGCGCGCGTGAGCGTGGGCGGTAGGGTGGACAGGCGCCCCATACAGCCCAGCTGGGGGAGTCGGGAGCAGCCTTACTTGCCGACCTCGACGCAGAAATCGCCGCGAATGGTGCCGGGTGGGGCGTCGGCCGGGTTTGTGGCCCCAATGAGCGCCCGTGAAGCCCGCACAACGTCCAGACCCTGCCACACCTGCAGACGGGGTCGAGAGGGCGAAGTCAGCCCAAGGTCCCCGCGCCTCCCGCCCACCCGACCGCGGGCACTCACCATGGCCACCACCGGCCCCGAGCTCATGTACTTGACCAGGCGCCCGTAGAAAGGGCGCTCGCGCAGCTCCGCGTAGTGCTCGCGTAGCAGCTCCTCGGAGGCCTGGGGAGGGGAACCGGC